GTGTATTGTAGACGACGCCTTAAGTCGTAGGAAACTAACCAGTCCCAATCGAGTATTCTCCTTATATTTGATTGTGATTGGTTGGTTTCCTACAACTTAAGACTCCACGACCATTTACGACTTTTATGTAGAGGACCCTTAAAAGTATAGGGCGGAATCCAGACAATGGTCTCGTTCAGCGGAGAAAACTAATCAGTTTTTTTTAGCGCTTAGTGATTCTTTAATATGATTGCTAACCTTTTCGTAGGATGGTGGGAAACAAACTGACATGGGTCAAGCGTGTAATCAAGTACGCAACAAGCAGGGTTGTGATAATCGTGCCTACAACCGCGATCCTCACTAATACGAGTATCATTTCTTGCGCGTCTGCAAGAAAACCGTTCTTTTGCTCTTCTTCTTCCTTTTCTTTATAGGTAGGCCACACTGTTTGCAGTTCGCGGATCTGCGCACGAGATTTGCAGAAGAGTGCAGTCGAAGCAAGATTGTGATTGGTCCACTGGTCAGGATACTCACCGCGGCAACGCCTCGGCGGCGGATGAAATTTACGCCCTCGAGAACGATAATACCATCGCCGTAACGACAAAGGCTTGTAAAATGTCGCACGAAATTTAGATGTAACGACATTGCCGCAATTCATAATTTCTGTCTTTCCAAAGTACAAGAGAGCAAGAAAGGCTACGTTTCATGATCCGCAACGCTGTTTCCGTGCATGTCCATGTTCACAAGTTCACACATAATTTCTTATCTTTCTGAAATAAATCCTTTAATTTTTATTTGATTTGATCGCCAGCGCGCTTACGCGCACTTTTCCAATACGTCTCGCGTAGTCTTGCGCATTGTGGAAGCAAAGAAAAACCTGAGAAAGGCCGTGCCGGCCTTTTCCCCGTTCCCGTCGAAATCACTCGTACACTATCGCCAGTACATCCATTTTTAGTTTGGGAATTACGTGACTACATACATTTTCTGACACTATCGATAAAATCGTATCGTTAAAAATAGATGTGATTCATCTCTGTACTAAATCCTCAGGATAGAAACGTGCCGACTATCCATAAGAGGGATTTTTAATGGGTCTTATTCTCTATTCCCTGTTTTTTTTTATTGTCCAGAGTTCCTTATGGCTCCTGCACAAGTGCACACTGGACGCGGAAGAGTGATCCCGATTGACCACGTCTCGATTGGACACCACCAATCACAGCGACCGGTGCTTAGGAGCTTTGTAGTCTCAAGCGCTGTGAGTGGCTCGTGTCCAATTGAGCCGTGTCCAACTGGGTGCTGCCCGATTTACACTGCATCCGATTTGCGTCGTACGATGCTCTGCAACCAATCAGCAAACAGGATTCCGATGGATTTTGCTTCGTATCATCGGAATTCTGTTTTCTGATTGGTTGAAGAGCGTCTGATTTAGCCGCGCGGCGCGGCAAGCGTTTCAATGATTTCCGCGTCTAGTGTGCACCAGGGTGCACTTGTGCAGGAGCCATTACACCCTGTATATACTGCACTGTGACCACAGAGCATGCTGCATGAAAATGTAACCATAGTGCACGCTCGCTTCGCTTCGCAGTATTTCGTGGCTGTGACACTTTTCCTAACCTGGATAGTTGTCACTTCTACTATTAATATGTTGCTCCACAAGGCAGAGTGACGCTTTTTTTTTTGCCAAATTCATTTTTGTCGTGCAAAAACGCATGGAATGAGCCTAATTTCATTAAAGTCAGTGAGGAAGACAGAATTCTTGAATATTACCAACTCTTTCGATAGGAAAATCAAATAAGATGACAGTGAGTTTATATTTCATATTTTTTTCAATGAATGTTCATTCTTAATTAATTGACGTTTCCATAAGGAACGTTCCGATTGTTTAGACTACTCGTATTATGAATCCTTTTGCGTGTACTATTATTATCAAACGACAAAATTGAAAATACATTCACATCTGGTATCGCTTTGAAGCTATTTGCACTGTGTACGATTAATGATTCGTACAATATAATGCAACATAACCTGGATGCTGTTTATTTTTACTATGTCATACTGTTTTTGTGGAAAATGGATGTCTTTACACAATTACAACGCAAAACTACATATATGATTTTTATATATACACATAGGTAATATTGATACTTTATACTTTATATAGCTATTGTAGAACAGGCATTTCGAATGCCTATTCTACAATAGCGTTGCAAGTCGTGAACCGTAAGAAATTGATCAATCACAGTTCACAGTTGAATACGACAAAAATAATCAACTAGAATTTGTTAATTTCTTATAGCTTACAGCTTGCGACCCTATTGTAAAACAGGCTTAAGACTAAGGGACTTCGCACAATAAAAGGAACAGAGAACGGAGAATAAGAATCTCAACCTATATATATCGGAAATCACGTATTATGGAATACACACTGTGTATTCCACAAAATTGAAAAATTTCCAGAAAATTATTCAATCACATTTTACATGCAACTTTATAAGAGAAATGCGATTGGATAATTTTCTGTATGCATATGTGTATGCGGCTAGTTTGTGTGGATTTATCTTAATGGTTGCCTGGTTCTACTTCAGCCAATCACGATGTAGCGAGTCCATCGTAATTGGCTGAAATAGAATCGGACAACTATTGAACGTAATCGTTAACCCGTAGTCTGATTGTATTTTCGGCCCGATCAGGTTTGCACCAACCTGGGTTGGAAAATGCTTTACTATTGATTGACGTTACACGCTCTACCAATAGGAGAGCACGAAACGTAATTAATTCAATCCAAGGTATCGATCATGTAACTTAAAATCGATCATGTAGAGTAAAAATTTTTTGTATGAGCCAGTGTATATGCATGTACATACGTACATACACGTGTGTATTGGGAAATTTGATATATCGTTACGCTACCTGGCGGGAGATATCGGAATTAGTGCGGATAGGTAACTTTGTATTTATATGGCATTCAGCTAAATTTTAGTACAAATTAGTTAAAAATTCATGGAATTTTCACCGCTAACAAATAAAAATAAAGTTTTTTGTTGTGTCTTTGGCTGCACCAGTCAAGCTCGTAAGAATGTTAGATTTTTTCATTTTCCTCAAGAGGGCAAAAATCTCATTAGTTTTACTAGTAGGTGTCGAACTAGTAACAACACAAATTTCTCCTATAGATATTTTCATTTTTATTTATTTACTGCAGCTTGTATTTACGTGTAACAACCTTATAGTATAAGAACTTGTTGGTTAGGTTACCTACTCGCAGTAGTTCTGACCGCTGGCGCTAGATGAAAGCTCCGCCCCCATCGAATTTCCCAATATAAGTATGCATACATTCATTTATACATAAAAATGTTCACTTTTCACGTTTCCACTCTGAAAGAAAAAGTTACACAATCGTGTTATTTACTGAAAAAAGTAATAAGTAATTTATAACGTATCGACAAGTTACTTTTTCCGTTATAAGTTACGAATAACAGTAACTAATTACAAATAAAAAGTTATTTTTTTCAGTAATGAATAGAGTTGCCAAATCTCGGTCGCACGAAGAGAGTATATACATTGATTAGCCAAAAGAGTATACTTTCTAAAAGAAAAAGAAAAAAAGAAAAAAAAGATGAAGAGGTGATATTTTTTATTTTAAATGCCGGTATTTAATAAAATGACATTTTTAGAATGTAATTTTGATTGACTTTTTTCAGTTTTCATAAAGTTATTCACATATATGTGAACATGTTTATATTATAAAGTATAACATATTATAAAGTATAACATAAATGTGAATATGTTTATTCACATTTTACTTTGTAACCAGATTTTTTAATGTTAATAGAATTGAGAGAATAAAATTGATTCATATATTCCACGTACTTTGTAACTTATAAGTTTTTTCAACAAATATAACCAAATCTCTAGTAAAATCCCTATATAATATATAAATAAATATTTATATATTACATACTGTCCAGAGCGAATACAGCCTTAGTACAAGCCAAGTAAAACTTTTTTATAAAATAATAAATTTAAATATTTTAAATAATTTTTTAAATTTTTTATTATTTTTCAAAGAAAAGATACAATAAGTGAAAAGTAAGAGTACACTGTTTTTCAACTTCAAAAAGAGTAGAGGAGACCGGGGCTAAGTGGACACCAGGGCTAAGCTGCCATTTGAATTTTAAGTGACAAAAATATATCTTATGAGTTCTCAATTTATATTGTGGAAGGCATCTCGTGTGTCTTCTTTACCAACGAAGTTTGGTTAGTTTAGGTGCCGCGTTATTATGTTAGGTAGTCAAATATGTTTTCGATAGTTAAAAGTATTTTGTGTGTGTGTGTGTGTGAAATTTCATTTTTCGAATCACTTTTTGTGTATATGGATGAAATAAAGTTGCAAACACCAAAACTTTTTATTGCCACCTTATATTCTCTTATAACCACTCTATAAAACGCTAATAATCATTTGACTAAAATCGTTTACTTTGTTATTGAAAATTGCAATTGAAAAGAAGGTGCCCACTTAGCCCCGGTCTCCCTCCCTTACATGTCTTAAAAGAGTATGGTTAGCAATCCTAGTAATAAGTAACTCTTCCAACTGTAATGTTACCGTACGTAAAATTATCGTTATAAAAAATTCGCAACATCATTACCAAATTGTTATTATAACAAAGTAACGATAAAAAGTAAAGCGTACTTCTATTTCCTGTTAAAATCTTTCTTAACTTTAACATTACACAAAAGTAATGAAAAAGATCATGAATCATTTTTAAGTAATATTGTAATGCATTACTTTTTAAAATTAGTGACAAATAATGGTAACAATTAAGTTACGTTGTAAAAAAGATTAATAGTAACGCCTACTTTTATGAGTAACGTTCCCAATCCTGAGTACACGTAACGTAAATCATAGCTTAGAATTAATTGGATGTAATTCCTGAATATACCCCTGTACAGACGAAGAAAGGTAAGGTATTGACCAAAGGAGCAAAGCAAATAAAGGAAGAGAATGTCTCTACGCTGAGTTTTTACATCTACATGGCCTTAGGTGCAATGGGAATACACTTCATAACGATGGTGTTGCGTGAATTCAATGCACTGACGATAGTAAGTTGAATCTCTCTGATGAGGTTTATTCACGTCGAATGCTCCAACATGCTTCAACATACTCCTACTATAGTTCCTACAACGAGCCCGTTGGGACATGCGACGCGACAAACCTATGGACACCGATATAGCTCTGCAGCTATAAAACCCCTTAACTGTGTATTATTGTTACAGAGTCTAATGGCATTTTCTGCAGTTATATATATAGGAAGCTACCAATTCATGTCGTACATGGCTCGCGCCACGTACTCAGAATCTGGCCAGCTACTAGATCCAGGTGTTGATCTCAACATGGAAGGTGGTATAGCAGAGTGAGTTTTTGCTATAACTGTACTCTTCTCATCGTTATTAATTTCTCTCTAGATAGCATGAGGATGTCCATAGTATGTCTATTGGACATTCACTTCTAGATTGGAATGTACATTGGAATGTTCATAGAATGTCCAAATTAGGTCTATCAGATTCATGAAATATATATGTTATAAGCGAATATGAATTGAATTTAAAATGGACATCCTTGGAATGTCCAGTGTTATCTGGATACTATTGTTCATTGAACGAAGTATCATAATTTTGTTTACAGACATTTCAAAGATTTAATCATATTAACGTCAGGAGTGCAAATTCTGTCTCTTATTTCGAACTACTTCTGGTTATTGTGGCTTTTGGTAGGTACTTCGATAAACCATTTGCATTGCTTTCCTTATTATGTCACAAAAAGACTACATATATGTGGAACTCTTGTTATTGCATATTTTTATAGGCACCATTAAGGGGAAGCTGGGTGCTCTGGAAACAAATTTTGGCTCCGTGGTTCTTTGCTCAGCCACAAGAGCAATCTGAGATGAACGAGAAGAAAATGCGCAAGTTAGAAAGGAAAATGGCGAAGCGATATCAATGAAAATCTTCGTTGCTGTACAATAAGAAAATTCCATTGAATTATACCTGATTTAACCAAGGGGATGGTAGTAAGATCAAAAAACACCGGAAAGAGAGAAGTTTGGAAAATTTAAGATTTTTTCTTGTCAAGAAAAATTGAGACTGTGCAGTGGTTCGACATTTCTATAGGATAAATATTAAATGAAACAAGATTTTGGAGGTTTTTACAAAGATGTACGAAACAGGGAAACACTTTCACAGAATTAGGAGGAAAATCGCAAATTGGGAGATAGATTTTTCGCCTTTACCTCTTTGTATTTTAAACAATTGATTCTCGGCAGACTGCAATCCATTTTATTATGTCTATAAGTAACGAGGCACTTCTTATTCGATAATATTTATAAATTCATTCCTATATAAAAAGTCGGCGGCAATACTAAATTATATGTATTATTGGAAAGTCAATCTTAATTAAATATATTCAAAAAGAGACATTACATTAAAGTAGGAAAATAAAGAAAATCTTAAAGTCATTTAAAGTTGAATAATAGATGACCGGAATAATCATAAGGGCTGCGGTCCACTTGACGCTACAAACGCTTCGAAGCGTTCTTTGATTAGTCAATTTGTAAAATTCTTTGTTCTGATTGGTCGCTCAAACGCTTCGAAGCGTTTGTAGCATCAAGTGGACCGCAGCCAAGATCAGTCCAGTGGAGCAGTCGTAGCACACTAATTGTAACTGTTAATAGTAAAAAACAAAGAATCCCATGTTCTCAGTGGGTTCCATTGATTTTTCCACTAGCTTATAATATATTCATGTATTAATAAATATTACTTCCATCGCGATTTATATAGGAATAAAACTCCTGGATAAGAAGTATCTCGATTTGTTAATCTTTATCTAACTTTGTTAATTATGCTAATGTAAATGATCCTTTTTGTAATTATAGCGATAATACAGTAATGCTCAATTTTTTAAATCTTTTATTATATGCATGAGAATTTGAATAATAAAATGAGAAACAAACACGCGCGTGCGTGCATACGCAAGTGCCTTCTTGGAAATAATGGTAACAAATGAAATATGTTGAAGTGATGGTTGAATGGATAAAAATCAAATAATCTTTAATACTTGTATATATTGTACATTTGGTAATTATACAATTTAGCTACCTCAAAAATCAATGAAGTTAGGCTTATTCGACGCGTTCTTGCATAAAAAAGCATCATTCTGCTTTGCGAACAGAGATATTAGTTAGGGTCGTAAAATTACCAGGATACATATTACGGAATGAGAGTTATCCCATTAATGCTGAGTTCAGATTCCCACTAGAGTGTCACCCAGATATCACTCCTTGTTTATCGAACATTAGGCAAAGGTAATATGAGACCCAGGGAGCACCCATGTGGAAATCTGAATACTCCTTAGGGTCCGCACACACTTTCCGGAACAACAATCGAAAGACATATCATAAGAACTAACCAATCACAGTCAAGAATTTTCAAAATCTTTTAGCTTTGATTGACTAACTTTTAGGGTGCCGTTACATAAAGTGTGGAAACGACAATAACTCGACTTTACTAGATATTTTTCGGTCCTAGTGGAACTAATTTAAATTTGTGTTATCGGAAGCACCTACAGCCGATTATTTATCCAATAGATCCATAAATAAGAACCAATCGTTTGATGAACAAGCTGCATTCTGGAACCCATCACAAAAAAGTGTTGCAACTTTTTTGTGACTGGCTATACATACAGGAACATCTGCCGATTGTATTTTGTGTACCCACTCGAGTTGTGATTTACATTTTCGCCCTTCCATATACTATTTACGACATTCGTGTTCTGACCATGTTGACCTCCGTACTTATCCGGAGGCAGAAGCCATTAATTTAATAAGAAGATACAAAAACTCCGAGAAGCTACACGAGGGATCCTAAAGCCGTCTATATTATCGACTAAATCGTAATTTTCCACCGTGGCCACGACTTCGGGCGAGTGGCAGTGGGGAGAATCATGAGAAACGCGCCACGGTTTATTGGAATCAGACTTTATACTACACTCTTATGGACTTACAGGATTCTTGTCTCTGACGAATTTTTATCTTAATTAATTTTATCGACTTATTTTTTACATATTTGAAATTGTTTAGTATATGACATGGTCTCTTATTATTATATTTTTTGTTTAATCTTTTGCATTATTTTTATTCATTAAAATATTACGTGTAATTATTTATTAGAATTATCTGTGTCAAGATTTAAATTTTAATTTGTTATCATTTGCTAGAACTGATAGAGACCAAGTTAAGGTCGAAAACGTTTTTCCATATGTTAAGTACAATATATGAACTATTAAAAATTGCTTATATTACATCTATTATGTGCTCCTTTCTGGCCGTTTTGTTTTTTAAATTTGCTTTTGTAAAATAAGAGTCGATTTCTATACCTTTTTAGCCCATTCTGAAACCTTACAACAGCAATTTCACTACTTAGGGATGTCATTACACAGGTATTATACATGCTAAAGAAGTTACGCAATGACAGCAGAACAATACCGAGCTGTCGTTAAGAAGGTACAGAATAGGTCTACAGAGAAAAATATGTAAAGAAAATTTTTAGAAAACTATATATATCAGGATGTATTTTTTAAATAAAGTAATATTTGCAATCATTTTACATAGAACGTAAAATATATCGAAAATTCCCCTTTCGGTAATCAAAATTGGCATATTTAAAATTGAATTATTCTTAATCAGAAAACGAAACAAAGCATATGACAGCTGTTAAATTGAAATCAATATGATTTTATTCTATTCCGAAAAGACAATTTTCGATATATTTTGTAAGTGTACTCTTGCGGTCCACACTTGATGCTATAATTGATTAATTAATAAAATTCTTTCTTCTGATTGGTCAATCAAATGCTTCGAAGCATTTGTAGCATTAAATGGACTATACCTTTTATTAAGTGTAAATATTTCATTGAAAATCTTTCTATTTTAATATATTTTGTAATAATTTTCGTATATTTTCTCGCTTATGGCGTTATTCTAAAAATCTGTAATGAATGGTTAGGAAAGTACCTTAAGCCAGTACCCAGAATTGCAAATCTTGAGCATTGACTTAGACTGAAAATATCTAAACTTATATCTCTAATCATAGATTTTATTACAAATGTTTTTGTTTGATTACTGTATTATGGAGCCAATTATATGTATAGCGACAACTATATACAGGATAAGTACTAAGTATTCTAAAAGATTTGCTGGAGTGATTCCTCCCATAAATTCACTTAGTATCCACTCTGTACATATAACACATATACAAAAATAGCATTTTTATTCATATTTAGATAAAAAATATGTTGTTTTTTTCTGACTAAAACGTATTACCTGTTCCAATTGCTGGATATCGATGTGTGCGTGCATACACAATCAAATATAGCACACACACACATACACAAATGAAGACAAAACGTCTTGATTAAAATGTCTTTAAATGCATCACTGGACCAGTCTTTCTCTGATATCAGTGTCTAGACCCTTCTTTTTTCGATAATTGTACTCTGATTGATAACTCGGTGGATGATTGTGTTCGTGCACCCCCGTCGGCATGAATCTCTCAGCGATCACAGAACATTTACCGCGACAACCGCGATGCTGCTCCGCACAACGGTAGTGTGAGCTATTATATACTTTAGAACGAGATGTCATGTTGTACACGTATCCTTCGTGGACCAACTGTGGTCTACCTCTGGCAGATAGTCTATAGACCACTGGTTCCACATCTATATAAAAAAATTTATATCAACTTTCTTTTAATCAAGATTTATTTCATACAACAATCAAACGATTAGTTTAATATAAATATCTTGCAATCAGTAAATCAGTTAATATTTCATTATGTTTATGAATAATATAATAAAATACCTGACTGTAATGATGTTTCTTCCAAATTTTGTTCGTTAGACAACTCAATTATTTCTTCACTATTATCAATAGCCTTACTAGTCTTGTTACATCCAATATCCTTTTCATAATTGGAATCATTCATATTATCTGATTTTTCATTGTTATCTGACATGAGACAAATATCGTCCTTGTTGTCAACATTTGACTCATTTTTTAACTTTGTAATCGAATTGTAATTGTCCTCAACCACCTCTCTCTGTTTCTTTCTCGTTTTAGTGTTCCTATTGGCTATCCTGCGAGAGTGTACAGATTCATCTGGAATTTTGTTCTTGCCTTCTTTCTTGCTTAGAACATCAGATAAAGCGTTTACATCCTTGAAATCATGTGAATCTGACACATTGACGTAATCATTTAATAATGGTATATGTCCCTCGCCACCTTCTAATCCTTTTATTTGCAGCATCTGCGCAACTTTTAGGAAAGTAGACAGGTCATCCTGTTTTATATTCACCTCTCCTTGATACATGAACTTCAGCAAAGATATTACTTCTGTATGCTTTACATCTTTCAGTATTATCACTGGATGTTGACAAGGATTTTCCTGCAGAACAACTTGAGGTGTTATTTAAATAAAAATATTTTACAGGACACTGTTAACAATAAAGTCATACTTTAAATATATTTTTGAAGTAAGGACTGCATACAGACAGAACTAGCTTGTGGGCAGCTAACAATTGTCCCTCTACAGCAATTGTTACATCAACCAAATTGTTCTCATTCAAATGAGAAAGAAAGCCTGAAGTCAAGTTGTTACAAAAATCATTCCATCTCAAAGAAAATTCCTTTGATGACAATTTTGTAGCCATGTTTCTCTATAAAAGAATTAATTTTTAATGATCTAAGCCCTATAAATAATTATGAAAAGGATTTCTTACAATCTAATGTTATTAAACACATATAATGTAAAAAAAGAGATAAAACATAAATGTCTATAAAATACCATGTTCTCGATTGTATTAAAAGGAATTATTAAACAAAATATTAAATTCTTTAGTTTTTCAACAATTAATTTAACATTAAGTACTAATTTAATATTAAATTAATGATTATACGTACAATTAATCTAATACTTAACCTATACCTTCCTATTATGTGTCACTAGTGACCAGTGATTCCTTACGTTTTCCTAACTTGAGTCTTTCGATAATCATAACTTACACTATATTTTATTTTCTAAATGAAGTTTAAACATTTTTTTAGAAAGTTGAATGTAGATTTGTAAATATTTAGATTTTCTTAACCATTTTAAATAGATGAAAATATGAACGAGTTCTAGTGACCCACAATATCAGGAATGAG